TGGCGACGGTTTCGCACTGGATGGCGAGGTCTAGTCTGATTCTGCGTACGACGTCACTATGATGGACCCCCAGCATCTCTCGAAAACGGCGGCAGGTTCGAGGCTCTCAACCCTCCCAGGATGGTGAGGTCGAATCTGAATCTGCGTGGGGGGTTCACTATGCTGGACCCGCAACAGCCCTCGAAAGTGGCGACGGTTTCGCTTTTCGCAACACCCCAAAGAAGGCAAGGTTTACTCTGAATCTGCGTGGGTCGTCACAACGCTGGACCCCCAGCAGACCTTGAAAGTGGCAACAGTTTCGCACTTCGTCGGCCCCCAGGAACAGCGAGGCTAAATTATGCTGGACCCCGCAGCAGCCCTCGAAAGTGGCGACAGATTCGCAGTCCGCAGCCCCCCGAGGATGGTAAGGTCACACAGGATGGCGAGGTAAGAGGCGAGCTGGCAGACAGGTACGGGGCGGGTAGAAAGGCAGGGGAGAGAAAAGGAAGAGGGGGGGAAAGGAGGAGGAGGGAGGCGGAAGGACTGAAGACCAGAGCGCTCTACAGTGGAGGCCAGTCCACAAGAAACCTTCCACAAGAAACCCGGACCTGAGTCCCCATGAGGTCCGTGGATTTCTGGTGTGGGAAGGCCACGCTTTCCACCGCAGAACCATCGACACCCAAGAAACCCAGGACACCCTGGAGGCAAGCAGGGTGTTCCTGGGCATGGGCCCCCCCTGCATTCAAGCGAGAACCCAGCGCAGGAGTCAGTCAGTCAGTCAGTTACCAAAAACACGCAGGAGTCAGTCAGTCAGTCAGTCAGTCAGTCGGTCATTCAAGCGAGAACCCAGCGCCGGAGGGCCCGGGAAAAACACGTCGTCGGCGAGCTCGGTTCCTCGGGGAAGTGCGGGGGCCGCGCTCCGAGCCCTCGGCGCCCCTCCAGGGGAGGGCGGCCCCGTCTCCTAGAGGCGAGGCTGACCGTCTGAAGAGGCCGCCTTGGAAGCCCGAACTGGCAGGGGGAAGTCGAAGTTGACGCGTCGCTCCGTCGCCTTCCCGACGCTGCAGACAGACGGACGTCCTGAGGCAGAGCGCACATCATCGGAGATCCAGTTTTTCATATCGTAAGGCGAATCTGCTGCAGCCACTCGGGGCGCTCCCGCCCCCCTGGGATCGATCTCGGCGAGGCGCAGCTGCTGGAAAGCATCCCGAGGCTGGAAAGCTTCCGGCAACCTGCAAGAACGCCCGACAACCTCCGAAACGAAGACCTCCAAGCAAAAGATACCGATGTCGGAAGCAAATAAGCAGCACTCAGGCATACCATGTGGTTTGCACCCCCCTCCCCCCCCGGATCCAATGCTAGTTTCGGATATTCCTAGTTTTTGAGTCTCCGAGCAGTACTGCGCAAACGTGCCAACTTTGACTTGCAGGAGAAGGTTGAGTGCTGTTTTTTGTTCCCTCAACCGCATCGTCGGAGATCCGAGGAGGTGTCGGCCATTCTTCGGGCCCTCCGGGCCCTTCGTGCCCTTTTCGCATGGCCCTGTGGCGCGGAGCCCCGTACTTTCGTCTTCATCGTTCGCCTTCCTGGCAATCTCGGATCTCCTTCGCTGCCATGCGCCTGGCAAGCACGCTTCTCCTCTCCCTCGCCGCTCCCTCGCGCAAGAGTTAAGGCCTGCGTGCCACTTGAGTCTCCCCTCCACCGTGTACCGTCGGAGATCCGAGGAGGCGTTGGCCTTTCTTCGGGCCCTCAGGTTTGGAGTCCCGAAACGGTGCGGTGACAGACCGTGCGGTGATCTCGAAATCCCCAAAGACCGTCAACGCACGGTTTTGGGACCTCGGATGCCCCAGTCGCCCGAGACGCCCTCGGAGAACGACCCGAGTCTCAAAACCGTGCGGCGACCCCGAATCCCCACCGACTCACCACACGGTGTGGTCACCACCCCGTTGGGGGCCCCCGATCAGGGCCCATCCTAGGAGAGCGCACCGGGGCCGAGGGCGGGGCCGATGCGAGGCCTCCGAGAGGATGCCTGGGCGCCGCGGCCGCCGCCGCACGCCCACAGCGGGACAAGCCTCTCACAGGACAGGCGGGCGCTGGGTCCTCCTCCGTCATCCTCCTCCTCCGTCCTCCTCCAATCTCCTCCTCCTCCTCCTCCTCCTCCTCCTCCTCCTCCTCCTCCTCCTCCTCCTCCTCCTCCCTTCTCCCTCCTCCCTCCTCCTCCTCCTCCTCCTCCTCCTCCTCCTCCTCCTCCTCCTCCTCCT